CGCGGGGCCTCCACGTGGCCCGTTTGCGCATCCCCCCGCCTTCTCGCCCCTCCGTGAACGCGTCTCCCAGCCCCCAGCCCACGCGGAGCCGGCCCTGCCCACCCGGGAGGGGCACTCCCCGCATCCCACCCGACAGGTGTGGCCGGGCACACAGCTGCTGTGGACGTGTCTGCTTCCCCCAAACCTCACCACCCTGGGACGCCTCTGGAGGTCTTGACATAGGGGATGTAACTCTTGCAGACAAAAGTCGGAGTTTGTTCTAGGGTGGTGGTAGAGGGCAGGGAGCAGAGGAAGAAGGCCCTAGAAGAGGTGGGGTATGGGTCAAGACGGTCTCCCCTATTTCTGTCCTCAGCTGACCCAGAGTTCGGAGTCTCTTCCTGTCCCTTCCCCTCAAAACCACCAGGCCCTTGAAGATCTCGGAGGGAGGGAGGCGCAGGTGGCATGGCTTTGAAGCATGAGACCCTGCTTTTCTGCCTTACCCACCCTCCCACCTGAAACCACAGCAAAGACCCACGGATCCTGCTGCCCAGCCACCAAGCTCCTTCTTCCTCCTCTACTCTGCGGTCTCCTAGGGTCTGGTGGGGCCATTGTTAGGATGACAGCAGCCCAGAGCAGGGCTCTTCCTGCTTTCCCACCCAGCCTCCTGGGGTGTCTGCAAGGTACCCTGAGGGACACTGTGTTCCTGGAGAGTGCCAGGGCAAGCAGGGAGGGGCTCCGTCCTCTGCGGTTCTGGGAAAAGCCCTGGCAGGCAGCACGGGCCTGGGCTCCAGGGCCTCTGAGGGTGGAGCTGGGGGAGGGACCCTAGGCGGCTGAAGGGCCTTACCTGGGCCTCCCGCCCCCAGGCCCATCTGATGGCATCTCTGGCATCATCTGTAGCCAAAGATGAGGAGATGGCTGTCAGTGCAGGCCTGGGCCTGGAACCCCATTCCCACCCATACAACTTACTTCCCCCACAGCCTCTCACCCAGCCAACACTCACTGCATCTCCCAGTCAGGTGGCACCTTCGCTGCCATCGACTCCCACCTTCTTCCTGATGCATGAAATCTGTCCATGCAATCCCAGGTCGGTGAGTTCTCTCAGGCTGTGCCAGGGACAGCCCCTCGGAAGGCAGCCAGTCCAGTCACCTCCAAGACATTGCCTTGCAGTGACTGGGCTCATCCTTGTGTCCCCACATCAGCTTTCCCCCATGACCCACCCTGACCCTCTGGATCCCTGAAACTCACTAGGAAGGTGGATTCATTTTTAACTACTTTCTTTCCTTTGCCAGCCTGTGTCTAATCTGTTACCACATTCTGCAGAGTCTTCCCTTTGTTGCTTTTATTTCAAAATGTATTGTTTGTTTGTTCCTTTTCTCCTTCATCCTTTCCTCTCCAGCCCCATAGATTCTACCTTTGGCCCAAATTCCCACAGCAGCTGCCACATTGTCCTTTCTGACTCAAGTTGTTCCTTCCTCCTACACACCCTGCTGGAATAATCTTTCTCAAACACCATTTATTGTGTACGTTATCAACTTTAGACTCCTCAACCAAGCACACTGAGTGCTCCAACTCCTGCCCTGTGTGTTCTGTATGAAGGGGCCTGAATCCATTCACAGTGTGTCCAGGCCACAGGGTCTAGTACAGCGCCTGCCACACAGCAGGAGGGTGTCACGTGCTCCCCAAGTGACTGAGCTACTTGGGGGTACTCCCTTCAGATTCTCTCTCCTGACTTGGACTCCCCATTCACACCAAGCCTGTTGGCTTCCTGAGGCTCACTCTGGCCCTTCTGTTTTAAAGAGCCACTATTTTTCTTTTGAGTTGGAGTCTCACTCTGTCGCCCAGGCTGGAGTGCAGCAGCACGCTCACAGCCACTCCAGCGTTGAGCTGCTGGGATCAGGCGATCCTTCCACCTCAGCCTTCCAAGTAGCTGGAACGACAGCCACACGCTGCCATGCCTGGCTAATTTTTTGATATATTGTAGAGACGAGGTCTCATTAAGTTGCCCAGGCTAGTCTTGAACCCCTGGACTCAAGCAATCCTCTCACCTTGGCTTCCCAAAGTGCTGGGATTACAGGCTTGAGCCACCACGCCCGGCTGAGCCACTATTTTTCATTTTCCCCAAATCTTCAGAGGGAGCTGGGGAAGGGGGAACATGTCAGAGAACGTGTGCCAAATGCCAAGTATGGAGTGGAATGAGTGCTTCGTCCAGCAAGAGACAAAGCCACATGGGGTGGAAGGCAGAGGGAAGAGTGGTCCAACCAATGGCTTTGGGGTTTACAGAGGGATCTTCTTGCCACTGAGAGAGCCCTGCCTACCCAGCTCTGGGCCCCTGGTCTGATGCCTCTAGACCATTCTCTTCTTTGGCACCACGTCTCACACAGACACACAAATACCCAGTGACCTCATGACTCAGCTCAAAATCCACCTCCTGCAGGAAGGCTCTGACAATCTCCACCCTACCTTGATCGTTTTGTCTTCAGCTTCCCTCTGAGCCTTATGAGCAGCCTTTGATCTTTTCTAGATTTTAATGCTTAGTTATGTCCTGTCATATTTTCAACCCCTCTTCCATGGATTATAAACTCTTTCATGGCAAGGACAGTGTCTCTTATTAATTTGATGCCATCTATTTATTTTGAGAAGGAGGTATAAGATACAAAATGCTCGGGTTTGGCTCCTGGTTCCAACACTTAGCTGTTTGGCCTTGGGTAAGTCTCTTAACCTCTCTGAGCCAGTTTTTCATCTATGAAAGGCGCTAGTGATACCTGCCTTGCAGAATGAGGAGCAAAGATTATAGAGAATACCAGAAGGTGCCTGTTGCATAGTGAGCGTCTAGTTTGTATTCCTTCCCCGCATGGTTTGAGCCTTCCCTGAATTGGGAAAAAGATCTTCCTTAACTACCGCTCGTCCATACTGGGATACTTTAAGCGTGAAAAGGGACACTACGGATAATTACACGCGTTCCAGGGACGTAACCTGGGGCGCACGGCCACGCTACCCTAGTTCACGGTAACCTGCAGGGCTCAGATGGAGCGCTGTATCCCAGTGGCTGAGCATGGCGCCAAGCGGAAAGCTCACTGTCGACTGGACGAGCGAACAGACCCTGTCCTCAAGTCTGTTTAAGTCTGTTTCTTGAACATCAGCGAGCGAAGAAGCAAAGATTGAAAAGC